TGCAAAAAATTAAAACGCCATAATAACCAATATTAGCGTTGCACTTTAATCCGTAATCTGAATTCATGATTAATATCGGTTTCTCTGCAAGATGCCAGACATGGTAGGAAAAAAAAATCCCGGCTTCTTATCTCCCAGAAAGTTTGCAGAGTCCTTGGGGGATGCAGAAGGAGCGGGAGGCTTTCAATCCGAGTCGAAGAAGTCCCGTTAGGGAGCCGCTCTTGCAAATACAATAACGCGGGCAAGGTCCGGAGGACAACCGTAGTGATTCGGTGGGGGCTCTCCGCGACGAGGGGCGGGGTGCTGCCCAGCTTGCTCGGCGAAGAATAGCAGAAGGGTCCGTCGCCCTATCAGCTCGCGAGAGCGTCAGCCTGAAAGTGTGCCTGCCCCTTTAAGAATCCGGCGGCGTGGAGTAGAGGCCCGAGGTGCCGATTGGGCGGCGTGGGCCGGAAGTCAAAGGAGGGCTTGTGCTGCTGTTTGGGTTGAGCGCAGGGTCGGGATCGCCCGCCGCCCCTTTTTCTTCTCCTGGCAGGTGGAGCAGCGGTGGCTGCTGTTCTGGGGGCGGGCGAGACGGGAGCGGTATTTGCAAGGGGTGCAGCAGTAGGCGCTGCTCCTACTCCGCAATGCCCGCGGTGGCTTGCGATTGAGGCCGGAGCAGTCTGTGGGTGCGTGGGCGGCGAGTTGAGTGGCTCTCTCTCTCTCTCCCCCCCCCCCCCCCCGCAGGCCTGGTGCCACCATGGCTGAGAGGGCTTTTCCGAATCCCTTCGCAGACTATGACAAATCCTTGGCCGCAGGATATTTTGATTCTTCAGGGAGGGTGAGTGCTTGGATTTTGGCTTCTTCTTGCCGCTCCTTTTAAGCGGTTCTTTTCCCTGAAAAATAGTGTGTATTTTGGTAGCAGCCGCAAGGGAAGAAGAATGCATTATTAGGGCTTTTTTTCTCTTAACAACGGCTAAAAGCTGTATGATAAATGTAAATAAGCTGCCATTTTAATTGTTTCAGTCTTGCCTTCATAAAGACCTTTTCAAACATCGTTTGCCAGAGGCTAGGTCGTTAATCTTACTTTGAATTCAAGGACGGAGTTTGTCAAAAAGAAGTACTTAAAAATATTCCTAGTTGCTTCTCCTACAGCTCCTAGTTAAAAATAGAAATCCATTATTTTTCTTTCCAAAATTATATGCATTATTTTACACCATTGTGTGGTTTCTGTTTATGTAATGCCCACCCTTGTATAGCATCCTGTGGGTGTTTGTACGGGGGGGGGGGGGGGGGGTTTCAATACTCAGGTACATAGCAGGTGGAAATTCTCAGTGATTTTAAGGAAGCTCTGTAAAGACATTGCCCCTCCCCCCCCAAATCAGGTAATATTGTGAGTTAAGTTTAAATACATTTTCAATGAACAAAGATAAATCTTAGTGTAGTGTAGTGCAGAAATACAGTTCCATAATATTCTTTGATGACTTCAGTGGTGATGGGAATCACGAAAAACTATTTTAAAAAGGGTGCTCATTGACTTAACTATATTAATAGGCCATGCCAGTTGTGAGGTAAAAATACAATTACTTTAATTGGGTTAAGTTGATTGGGAGCAGAAATTCTTTTTCTAATGGGATAATGGAATTCTTTTTCTTAAGTGCTTTATGACTTTATGAAGAAACAAAAAACATCACTCTCATACATGGAAAGCATAGAATCAGAACCATGGCATTTCTTTCAAAGCCCAATTAAGACAGCCTTCTAAATATTGAGATTGTCTTGATTATGAAACTCGGATTAAAACATGTTTTTGAGGGTGTGGCATGAGAATACCTCTAAGAAAGCCAGGAACTCTGAATTGTAATTACTCTGTCAGCACCCTTAGGCAGAATACTTGGCAAAGGGTTTAGCTTTTCAGAAGATAATCTACACATTCACAATAAGATTTCTGGCTAAAGAAATGTGTTTAATATGCTGTGGAGAAATATGTGCTGTGCTATCCACAAATATGAGTGTAAAAACCCAGGTGTGTTATAAACGGCATTGTGTTTGCCATATCTCTGAAATCATAAAAAATGGCAGGCAATTTAGGTGGAAGAGCGTCAAGGGAACCAATAAATGTTGAGTCTAGCTATTAAGTTTATATAGCAGTGCTGAAGAGTCTTCACTGACTGTGTGTTAGCTTTGAGGATCTTATTATTGACATATAAAGGCCTAACTAATTTGGGAGAAGACTTTGGTATCTCACACTTACCTTCCAAAGAATCACAACATTCAAAAGAAGAATCCTTTTTTATGGTGTTATTGTGTAGATTACTGTTTGGCAGTAACTGCTTGGACCTGTTTCAGATGCCTCCCAGAGACGCATTTTTACCCAAGTCTTCCTTGTATGAATATTGGCTATTATATATGGATGTGTATATTTACTGATTAAATGGTTCCATTTATTATATTTTATATATCTAACACTTCAGGAAAAATGTATTCTGCTTCAAGATGAATAAACCAGTTATTATAAGCACATGTATCAGTTGTGTTGTATTTGTTTTGCATGTAATTGGATGGCCTTCATTTAGCAACCACAGTTGAGGCTAGCAACTTGGTTATTAAACAAAGCTAACTGATGCAGCAACAGTGCTTGTGATCTTAATCTTCAGCCTTCCTGTTCTTTACAGACTTATGAGGATTGGCCACAAAGTTAATTTTTCATCACCATTGTAATTGCATAAACATAAATAGAGTATCAAAGAGAAATAATCATTTCTCTTTAAAATGATGGTTAACAGAAATCTTCAGAGTTGTACCAGAGTACAGGTAAAAAAATAATGAGTTTACAAGGAGATGGAATTTGGTTCTATATGAGGTAAAAAAAATTGATAGTCATAATTCAACAACGGAACAAACTACCTTGGGCTCTTTTTTGCTGAAGGTCTTTAAACAGGATGGATCTCCATGTCAGGGATCTCCTGTAATAATGACTCATGTGTAATTTCCATTTCCATTTCAATCTTTACATTATGTATGTACTTCTATATATTGCCAGTGTTCATCACAAAGTTTCCAACCTGAAAGGGTTTTAAGCTTAGAGCCTCCATAAATACTTGACTGCATTAAGAAATGGATATCTCCTTCAAGCTTTTTATGCTTACCACAACAAATGTTGATTAATCTATAGTGCCCTGTACAAAAGCTTCCATGTGGTAGAATTGTAGTGAGTCAGCTCAGACTATCAGGTAATATTGTACAATGCTATTTCTGTCCTATTTGTCTAATAGCAATCATCTAGCAGAATCTACTCTTAAAAATTTGAGAAGCCTTCAAGGTCCCCTCAGGGGAAAGTATGGCACTGGCTATAACCTCAAGGTAATAGGTATGGATAGCCAATGTATCACCAGGGGAGAGAAATACAGTTTTAAATATTTAAGGTTAAATCCTTAATAATCACTTGGAAGAAAGTGGCTGAAATAGTAGGGTTTTCTATAAAAATGAATTTGGATTCTTCTTTCCCTTTTTAAATTACTGCTTCCAGTCTGGCAGCTGTTTATTTCCTTTATACTTCTAAAAAGATGGTTCTCTTAAAAGTATAGAGCACTTCAAAGTATTTAGTCTGGCACATCTTGATAAGTGACAATGTGTCTGCTGAGACATAACCACTGTGTTTTTATTAACATCTACAGCTCACTCCTGAATTCAGTCAGCATCTGAATAATAAAATCAAGGAACTTCTCCAACAGATGGAAAGAGGTCTGAAATCTGCCGACCCCAGGGACTGTACTTGTTATACTGGCTGGGCAGGTAGGATGGGAGTGCTGCAAAATGTGAATGTTAAATAGCATGTTTTAAACTGAATGTTTAAAGAATGGCTGGAGAACATATGGTCTTATTATACTGCTGGGATTGAATTTGTCTTGAAGAAGGAAAGACTTGGGGAATCCTGCAAATATTATTTATCAAGGGATTTGTAAGCTATCCACTTTTTTTTTCCAGGGTGGATTATCTTTTGAATTTCCAAAGTATTCCTGAATGTTACAGTAATTCTTTGGACAGAGAAATAATATTTTTTTTAAAGTTTCCTCTTTTTGCTGTTGTTGCAGTCGATTGTTAATGGCTGCCATCCTTTCTGCCTTATCAAAGATGTCTCTGTGTTGTTATACTAGAATTCTAATCTAGTTTATTGTTTCGTTGCTTTTTGATAAGCCAGTTTCTCACTATTCTTTTTAAATATATTAGGAGTGTATTTGCACACATCACATTTAACCATGATTAATGAATAGACTATTGTGGGCTTGAGTTTTAGTAAAATGAAACCCTGTACTGTACAGTCTTGATTCATGTAATAGCTATATGAACTGCAATGGTTCACAGTAGCAATTCAAAGTCACTTTAAAGCCCCACAGGCATGAAACCAAGGACTTCCTCTTTCCAGTGGTTTCTGCAGGCCCCATCAGATCTAGCACAGTGTGTATGCTCCCCCACGCATTGGAAGCAGGAAACATTTGGGAGCTCCAGCATGGATGTATGCATCTAATGGTTTGTGTTTTTAATTGAGCCTTGATGCTGTTTTAGTTGATTGTTCTTTTAATGTATACCACTTTGTAACAATATTTGACTCAGATCAATACATTAAGTTCTTTCTCTTTTAGGCTACTGCCTTCTCTTTATGTCTTCTTCTGAGACAAAACATTTTCAGTTCTCTTGTTTTGAGGTGGTGGCACAATTTTGGTTTCAGTCTACTGGTGGCATGGGCATTTCCTTAGGCCAGCAGGCTGGCTGGGTAGTTCTGTGAGTTGAAGTCCACATATCTTAAAAGTTGCCAGGATTGAGGAGCACTGCCATAGACATTAAGGAACATAAAGGCCCAATAATTTTGCAACCTTTATTTTCTAGAATATGCTTCATTCAGTGAAACTTCCTTAGGCTTTTAAGCCGAGTGTTTAAAATAGCTTCAGTGTTACATTTTTCCCTTAGCGCACACTATTCTTAAATGATTAATACTTGAATGAAACATTACATTTTATGTATCAGCTTTGGTGAAATCTTAAATCTTAAATTGTCAATTCTGTTTTTTCCCCCCTTTTTTCTAAAGTACTTGATTAGAGATAGGAACATTTTGCAAACCAAATGAGCAAGGAGTGATGTTTAAACCTCATTCACCCTCTTGCATAGTTTCAGTCAGGTTTAATCCCACATTCTTACCAGCAGTACTGATTACTGTAGTAGTCTATTGGAGAGGGGATATTCTGGGAAACTTGATATTGTAGGAAATGCTACACTACTATTTTGAATTCTCATACTCATATGTGCCCATGCATGAATAGAAATAGCACCAAATATCTGGGCAGATCATAACTCCATAATTGTAATATGGAAAGGTCAATCAAAACAAAGAGGAAGGTGGACGTTGAACACAGACTCTGAGAGACAAAGAATATATAACAAAATTTAAAAAATTAGAAATGTTTTTTGATGTAAATAAAAAAGAACACACCCCTTTACAGAATCTGTGGGATACAACGAAAGCCTATCTAAGAGGAATAACAATTGCATATAATGCTAGAAAGAAAAAAGAAAGAGAAAAAGAAAGTAATGGGTTACAGAATGATATTAGAAAATTGGAAAGACAAGCACACTTAGCACCAGAAAATGAGCAAATTATAAATGTAAGTTAGTTAAACATAAATCGAATATGAACAGGAAAGAAATTTAAAGAGCACTGAAATTAGTAAAGCAAAATTATTTTGAAAATGCAAATAAGCCGGGAAGATGGCTTGCATATAGGTTAAGAAAGGAAAAAGAGAAGAGATGGATACAGCAATTGCAAGATAAGGAGGGAAAGATACAAAATAATATAGAAAAGAAAAAAATAGTATTGGAATATTTTCGTGAACTCTATAAACAAGAAAATATGAGTAAAGAGAGAATTAAACAGTATCTAGAGGAAGAAAATATTCCAATACTAACAGAAGAAGAAAGGAAAAGGTTAAATGAAGAGATTACTATGGAGGAAATAAAAGAAACAATTAGTAAACAAAAAAACCTCCCAGAACAGATGGTTTACCTGCAGAATTATATAAAAATTTAGGGGGAAATTTTTGATCCAATTCTTTTAGAAATATATAATGAAATACTTAAAGGGGCAGAGTTACCAAGGTCGTGGAGAGAAGTATACATCATACTAATACCGAAGGAGGGTGCAGATATCATTCATATAAACAACTATAGACCAATTTCCTTGTTGAACGCCGACTACAAAATATTTATGAATTTAATGGCTGAGAGACAAAAAAAATACTAAGCAGATATATACATACTGATCAAAACGGTTTTCTTCCAACAAGACAACTTAAAAACAATACAAGAACAGTACTTGATATCCTGGAATACTGTGAGGCACATCCAGAAAAACAGACTACACTAGTTTTTCTCGATGCTCAAAAAGCCTTTGACAAGGTAAATTGGGAATTTATGAGGCAACAAGTAAAGGAAATGAAATTCGGAGATAAATTTGAAAAAATGTTAGAATCAATATATTCAAGCCAAGAAGCCCGGATAATAATCAATGGAGAAATGACCAAATAGAAAGGGAGTCAGGCAGGGATGCCCACTTTCACCTCTGCTCTTTTTCACGACTAGAAATTTTGTTGAGAAAAATTAGACAGAATATGGAGATAAAAGGATTAAGAATTAAAAATGAAGAATACAAGGCCCAAGCATTTGCAGACGACCTTGTATTCTTTGTAGAAGAACCAATAAAATCAGGACCAAAATTAAATAAACAGATAGATATGGAGAGGTGACAGGTTTAACAATAAAGATAAAACTAAAATGATAACAAAAATCTAACAGAGAAACAAAAAAAGAAATTAGAAGAGGTAATGGGCTTACAAATTGTAAAAAGAATTAAATATTTAGGAATTTGGCTCACGGCAAGATGTTCAACAATAAAAGAAGATAATTATGTAAAATTGGTATGATAAATAAAAAAGATTTAGAAAAATGGGGGAAATTGCAATTATCAATGTTAAGAAGAATAGTGACTATTAAGATGAACATCTTGCCAAGAATATTATTTCTCTTTCAAAATATTCCAATTAAATTAGATAAAAAAAATTTTTTAACGAATTAAATAAAATTACTACAAAATTTATTTGGTTAGGGAAAAAACCGAGAATAAAATTAAGCCCCTTACAAGATAATAGATGCAGAGGTGGATTTGGACTCCCTGCCTGAGAACTATATTATAAAGCGGAAATTTTAACATGGACTGGGCTAATTTGAGAAACAAAAGAGTTTTAATCCTAGAAGGGCATGATTTGGAAGCGGGGTGGTATGTCTTGATGTGGAACCCTGGAAATAAAAGTTATACACATTTTAATAGGCATATAATTAGATGTTCACTATTAAAAGTGTGGAAAAAGATTAAACACAAACATTATACAAAGATCCTAGGATGGGTTTCCGTCATGGAGGCATTGATCCACCCCAATGCATTAGAAACTGGAAGAAAAAATAGGTATTATGATGTACTAAATTCCCAAGGAAGATTAATGATGAATCAAGAAATTAGAGAGCAAGGGATGAAATAGAGTGGTGGCCATATTTACAACTCAAAACAAGATATACAAAAGACATAGAAGAGTTTGGAATTGAGATAAAACCAAATCAATTAGATAAACTATTGGAGGGAACAGATGAAAAATTAATCTCAAAAATGTATAACTACCTGTTAGAATACGAAATGACGGAAGAAATAGTTAAAGGCGCAATGATTGCATGGGCAAGGAATGTAGGGCACAATATTAATTTGGAAAATTGGGAAAAAATTTGGAATCAAAATGATTAACAAAATTGGCGATCTATAAAGAAAATATAAAATGTGTTACGGATGGTATCTGTCACCCTCAAGGTTAGTTAACATTTACCCAAATGTGAGTCCGATGTGTTGGAAATGTAAGCAAATGAGGCGCACCTTCTTCCACACTTGGTGGCTCTGCCCCAAAAGTAAAAAATATTGGAAAAAAATTAGACTGGATAAAAGAAATTACAAGTATTCAATTAGAATTTAAACAGGAAATATTTTTGTTGGGAATGTTAAAAGGGGACTATGCAAACGAAATAGAATATTTAATTCTCCATATAATCACAGCAGCAAGAATTGCGTTGGCACAATGTTGGAAGGGCAAACAAATGACGACAAATAATTTGATTACTCAGAAGATACTTGACTGCGCTGAAATGGACCTACTCACACAAAAACTTAGGAATAAGGAAGACTCAAGATATATTACAGCTTAGGATAAATGGTATAAGTGGATTAAAGAGAAAAAAAACCAGGAAATTAAAAGATATGGTTTTGATGAATGGAGTGGTTAAATTAAGAATGTTTATCAAATTAAGAAATGATTAGTAGTAAAATTATTACCAATAAAAAAAATCACACTGTCTTAGTTGATCAGAAACATATGTTTCATATGTTTATGTATTATGTATTTGTATATATAGATTTTGTCTGTAACATAAAGTTGTATTCAATGTATTGTACATTTTAAATCTTTAAAAAAAAAGAAAATGCTACACTACTATTTTGGATTCTCATACTCATATGTGCCCATGCATGGTTCCTTTCAACAATATTCTGTACTCATATTGTAGTGGTAATAAAACATGAATGTTATCTATTGCTTAATTAAAGAAATCATAGCCAATACTTATGTAAATTTCCACTGTAAATAAGCCCATATAGAGAGGGAGGGAGGAGGCATTTGCAAGTATTTTTATTGAAAATCAAGTTTTAAAAAATGTCTGCTCATTTGAGGAGGGGGCACATTCTCTTGTTAATCAATCACACTTTAAACAGTTCATATAGCCAATCAATAAACCACAATGTTTAATTAAAAATGGATTGGAGCAGTTTATGGAAATAACAAAAATCTACATTTAGACAGGTTGAATAAAAAGGTTTTTTTAAGCAGAATTTGAGTTTCTTGAATACAGCTGGTAAAATGGAGGAATTTATTAAAGGATTTGTTTTGACATACAAAATCTAGTGTACAAAACATGTCGTATACATGACACATGTTTTATGTCATACATGACACATGCCATAAACATGACATACAAAATATTAAATGATTTGCGTTAAGGGTAGAATTGTCTCATAGAAAATTAGAATAGAATAGAATAGAA